TTTGGTAATAAATTACTAATTTGATTCCCCGTTTGCATTATGTATTTATTACCTTCATCTAGTTACTAAAATCAAATATATTCATACAAACAAAAAATAGAATTGCTCAATTGACTTCTCACACAGGTTAAATCAAGATTATGATTGAACGACATCTAACAATATTTTTGAGAAAGTAAGCAACATCTGTCATTTAATTAATTTTATTTTATTTTTTTCTTAATAAAGCGTTTTATTGAACCGGAAATTTTTACATCAAAATGATGTTTGTTGCGGTTTAATCGAAACGAATTGATTCGAGAATCGTATAAAATTGATACTTTTGAGTAAACTTCTTTTTTTTTTCCTATAGTTTTTCAATTTTTGTTTTGTTTAAATTATTTATATCACTGTAGTAGCCAATGTTTTTTTTTTTTCAACTGAAACAAAAGTTGTTATTCGTGCGCAAAAATTGAAAAATACTTTCATACTTTTATAAAGTTTTTTTTTAAAGGTTTAACGAAGTGATCAGTTATAAACTATAGTGTTTGTGTTATAGTGATAATTGGTACGTGATAAATGGAATTTTACATTAACATTGGAATACGGTAGGAAATAATCCACTTAAAATTTTCGTATACACATCAAAACGTACCGCAAATTCTTATTTTCTTATGATACACAGTTTCAAACAAATCGTTAATTTGTTATTAATAATCAACAGGTAACAAACTTTTAGTTGACAGTTTCTTAAACAAAGCTTTTTATAGGTAAAAAACTAACCAAATTCACATTCAATTCAAAAATAACTTTATTTACAAACATAATTATTGACCCTTTTACAAATTTTCTAGGGTACAAGCATATAAGATAAATGCTTTTACCTTTGCAAATCTTTCAACATAGTTGTTTTGGGTTTGCGTCGGTTTATTTTTCTTACACTTTTAACAATATTATGGAGATAATTGATACTTCAGATTAAGAAATTTTAAACTATGGTTGTTAGTAAAAATATACAACTATTTCTATATTAGCGGGAAAATTTGCGTGGGAAAAACCCTTTATTTGATCTAAAATGCATTAAAAAATATATTAGGCCTCTAGGGCCTTATCAATTGTTTATGTAGGAGAGGAGTGGTGGTGTTGGATGCGAGAGGGTAGAATCTAACCGTTTGATAGTTTATATCATAAACTTAGAATTTTCATCTACAGGCAATATAATTTTTACCTCCACAGTTTGACTTCTGGCTTTTTTTCTTAGAAACTAGTAAATATATTTGTTTATTTTAAGTTGTTCTCGTTTTGTTTGAGCTTAAAGTACTTGGAGTAGAGACATATTATGACTGGTTCATATTTTCTTTATTTCTAATTTTACTTTCACAATAGAAGTGTTTCTTTAGGACTGCTTATAAACCAACGTATTATTTGCAGTCTTAATACTTGTTATCTTTATTATCATTGTTATCTTTGTATTGTTAGTATTCCATTCCTGTTTTTATATAACTATCTCAATTGAGAATGTATGGTTTATAAAATGCTTCTTAATGATTTCAAATTGGATTGGAATGGAAGGATAATGCGGATGATATCGTGTTTGCGTGCCGCTATTGAATTTCCAATTCTGCGCAGTTTCAGCTAAAAAAAAAATAAATAAAAGAAGGACGAGGCGAAGAATAGTCCTTTAATCTTTAAATGCATGTAGAAGAGGAGAACGAAAAACAAAGAGTAAAAGAAGGAACAACAACAACGAGAGAAAATTTCGCTGGTAATTTGAGAGCCGCACGCTATGGTGCAATTTGATCCATGGCTGGGACGAAGGACGGATGGGTTCCCATAACCCACTGACTGTGCATCCCAAGACGCATCTTCTCTCCCTCTGTTCCATCATCATTATCATCGTCTCTATCTTGAGCAGAGAATAGAAGGGAACGCCGATTCCTCTCCACCATCTCTGCATGCATGCATTCTCCTCTCTCGGTCGCTTCGCAGAAAATCGATATGTTATTAATTTTAATTCTGCTCCTTTTCTTTTTTCTCTCTCTCTCTCTCTCTTCATTTTCTCTCGGTTATTGCGTGCTTCTCCTCCGCAAACTGTATTCGAGCAAATTACACATTTTGGTCCGTTAATAAATAAATTGCGAGAACATTAGTTTGGCGCGCCGCATCCACGACCACAGCCACAGAGCCATGGCCAGTTACTGCCACTACAAATGGACCAAAACACAAACATTATCATTCCTCTGGTTGCAATGCTCTGTATATATGCGTACACAAACACACTGCATTTACGCAAATACCACCGCAATGACATGAAATTCTATTTGCAATTTATAACCGAAGCAATTGGATGACGAATTGTAATGAAATATATTTCTTCTTTGTTTGCAGATTCTCATATGTGGACAACAGCTAATTTGGATATATTTAATGTCAAGGATAGAGTGACATATCTTTACGTATAAGGTAAGTTTTTTTTTAAATTTATTAAACCGTATATTTCGGATTCTAAGACAAGTTTCAGATAATACAATATATCAGCAATTATATACATATCTACTCACTACTTAATACTTACCAAGTAATTATAGCAGTGTTAGTTGTTTGGAAAGTTAGCAAACAACTAACATTTATACTTGGTAAGTTTTATTTAGTAAGTAGATGACTTAATAATTCGTAATTAAATATAATTAATTTACACTGACTGACAAAAAGTAAAAGTTCTGTATATTTTTGATAGAACGAATTACATCAAAAGAATCGTTACTTTACAACTATAGATATAAACACACAATATTGGTAATAGCTTTGAGTTTTTTCTTTGTGGTAAATCGACTGTTAATAATGGAAGGGCGTCAAAGGAGAGATGCGATCTCTACGATCGAAATATGAAAATGAATGTTTGGTCGTTTCTTCTAATCTCTTCCGCTAAATATAAATATTATGATATCATAAATATGAAGACTATGCTCTTCATATTTCTTTGCATATTATGTTAAATCTCCTCGATTTTGAGACAACAAAAATATGTTTGTACAATTGTTGATACTAGTAATTCTTCTGATTTTCATCTTAGAAACTGTTAGAAATTTCTGTATTTTATCTTAAGATGTTCTCCTTTAATTTGAATTTTTTGTCATTAATATTGGAATATTTACGTTAGTTATTACATTTATTTAATTTTGAATTTAAACTTTGAAATCACCAGTTTATCTACATTTTATATCAATTTCTCTTTGATTATAATTAAATTCTATATTAATTTCAAGGTTAATGTGATTAGCAAAGCTTCCTTCGTCCTTTTCTCAGTCAACGATAAAAAAAAATAACACTTTCCCAGCTAATTAGTATTTATTTTAGTCATCTGTTTCTTACTTTGATTTTGTATTTAAAACTCGTTTGTTGAAGCTTATTTACAATTATATACTTGTAAATTTGTTGATTCTCGTGTATAACAAAAGGAACATGAATGATTCAAGTAATTAATAAGATTATCTTATTCTTGTTTTCTTACTTCAATCAATTAATTATCGCTCAACAAATTGAATACATTTTACGTTGTATACTTCTCATATACTTCTTATTGTATGAAATGTATATACTTTTCCTAAATAATTATTTCTAAAGTATATTTAACACAAATTAAACACGTTTCTTAATTATTACTTTTTCTATATATAATAATAAATATTATTATAGAACAGTCACACAATAGAAAATACAAAAATATAGCATTATGTATAGTGTTGCTATTTCCTAGCCCTACTTTTTTCTTTTTTTTATATATACACAATTTGTATTAAAGTAACTTTTGTAACTAATTAACAATAAACTAATTTGTATACTATGGATCAAAATCTTTCCGGCCTAAAATTAATTACTTGTACTTCTTCACTGTTATATACATATTAGGAGTTTTTTTTCACAAGTATAACGAAATGAACAAAACCATTACAAGTTAAATTATTAGCTCTTGAAGCAAATTATGTACAGTTTTTTAAGTTAATTTTATTGTCTTTTGTTGTTAATTTATATTTAAAAGTAATAATTAGTTTTTTGTTCACTTCCTTTACTGTTATAAACTTTTAGTATATTTTTTGATTTATGAATAAATACGTTTCTAAGTTCTGACTTCTTGTTTTAACTCTACAAAATAATACACTTTTGAAGTTAATTATTATCTTTCTTGTCATTCTCTTTTTTTTCTGTTTTTAATTTATTTTTGAAACTCGTTTACTTTTGGAGGTACAAAGATATTTGGTTGTTATATTTTTGTAGTAAATTTCTTCCTAAATTATAAATAGGACTGTAACAAGTAATGTGATTTACATGTAACAGGAATGGCAATGTCGGAGGTATTTTGAACATTAGTCGAATTAGAGGTAGTGACGATTCTGCAGCGTTCCATCGAGCGGAAGCGTGAAAGTGATCCTCGTCAGTGTAAACTAGCAAATAGGGGAAGCCAGAATCGTGACCGTCGGGCAATTCAGTAAGTCACGTCGGTCAACAAACAACTGTCTCCACGATTGTTGGAGAGTTGCTGCAGCCAGCAAGCACCAACCGTCCATAGATGCAGCCATTTCCCTCCCCGTAGTATGAGGATTATATTAAATTAATCGGGCGTTAATAGGATTAAATCGATCCAATTAGCCTGCGTTAACCGATTATACCGCATATCCGTCTGGTCATCTGGCCAAGCTATGCACCAAATATCCACTAATTTTTCTTCCTCCCGTTCTCGAGGCCCCAGCAATTAACCACACACAGAGTAGTCACGCGGGTCCATTAAAGTGAGGTCTTCTCTCCTCCGCCCCTCATATTCCCTTTCCCATCCTTACAAGAAGAGGCTTCGCGAATTTCTCATTCCGATTCTTACATAAATAAAAATGCAGCCAGCTAACCATTAACGTGGTTTGAGTAAACGCGATCATCTTTTTTCTTTCTTGTCTCATTTAACCATTGCCGCCCTTTATTGCTTGCTTATAGACAGGAATTAAAAGCACTTTGCATCGTTTATTCGCAGTTTATAATATTAAATAAAGATAAAAACAAATTGCCGAGGCGATTAAGGACAAGGTGCCCATCTTGGCAGGTGATGAATTGACTAATCTTCTTTCAATTAACAATTTTTTGTAGAAGTCTGCCGACTGCTTCGGGCTCCTCTTGCGGTCCGGATCGTTAAAGTCCACACTGTAGAAACCAAATTTGCTCCTAGGAACAAGAACGAAAAGTTGTAAATTGATTTATAAACGACTCATATACAATCAATTTTCATTTAACGTACATATGTTTAACGAGCGTTCGATAATACGTACATTATTATAATGACTGCACAAGCTATTATTCTACTAATTGATGTATAAATAAAAAAAATTCACAGAAATTATATAAATTATGATTCAATTGCTTAATTATAATTTTCAATTGATAACTAATAGAAATAACACATAGAAATATTAAGTGTTAAAAAATAACTTACTTGTAACCATCGAGCCATTCAAAATTGTCCATAAGTGACCAAGCTGTGTACGCTTTAACTGGGATTTCATCTTCGTGAATTGCATCCAGCACAGCGCTTAAATACGTCTAAAAGGTCAAATATTATATATATATTTTTTTTTCAAATTAAAGCAATCATTGAAAGATTCACTTTGTAATAATCGATTCGTCCCAGGTCGTTCATCTCCCCTTCATCGGAATATCCATTTTCGGTGATAATAATATCTGGATTGTTGTAGTTCTGCTTGATCCAATTCAACATCTTCCTCAATCCCCATGGTGTTTTCTATAACAGTAATTTATATAAAGCACACTGTTTAATCCAGCGTTTTCCAAACTGTTAGGCGCGCCTCCCTGGAGAGGCGTGGACTAGTCTATATTGCTGTAATACGCGTTCAAAGTTGAAAAAATTAAATTAGAACATTTGAAAAAGCAGTGTTTTCACATTTAATTGATTTACTCGAAAACTATAATAGACAGAAAGAATCCAATATATGCATATGAAAGCTGAATGTTTGGGAAATCCAGCAAGTATAGATACATTCCTGTGCTCTTATCCATATTGCTGTAATACTCGTTCAAAGTTGAAAAAATGAATTTAGAACGTTTGAAAAAGCAGTGTCTTCACATTTAATTGATTTACTCGAAAACTATAATAGACAGAATGAATCCAATATATGCATATGAAAGCTGAATGTTTGGGGAATCCAGCAAGTATAGATACATTCCTGTGCTCTTATCCATATTGCTGTAATACGCGTTCCTTTTATGAAATAGAGGGCGGCGCCAAATGATTACATACTTTTGAGGAAGACGTAGTAAAATCAAGTTTGGAAACCACTGGTTTAATCTATGTTTGATCTATAAATTTAATTTATATGTTCTTCAAATTTAATTGAGTCTTAAGAAAGAATGATTCTATTCTGAATTAAGTGATTTAAGAGTCGAGATACATGTGAATTCTTTATGCAGCGTATACTGTTTTGTTATGAAACCAATAATATATAATTTGGAGCAGAATATCTTGAATAATTCGTGGTTACGATCACGGAATTACGAGGCACTATTATTTAAGCATTTGTTCTTCGGCATTATCTTAATTGTTGACGTAAAGTCCAATTATATTGTAATAACTTACTCTGAGCCATGTCGAGTAATTTGGTGGGCCGGGCCATTCGTCTGGTTGAGTGAAGACTATGTGAGCATCGTTCTCCCTCGACAACTCACTGACATTAACGACGTCCGAATGGGAAACCAACTTTGAGCTGTAAAAATTTAACGCAAACAGATTATCGTGAGTACCCTTGACCAGATTAACTTCATCTTCAGTTAAAAGAGGTAGTCTAGATGCAGGTAGTCCATTCATTTTACTGGTATACTCCACTAGAGCTTTAACGATCAATGGATAATCCCCCAAATATATTGGATGTGCCCATATTCCGAACTGCAAATCAAAACAGGAATGAAACCGCAAATTCATTTCATTTTGTCCGTTCAATTACCATAAACTGCAGATACCTGTCCGCAGCTTCTTTATCTTGCGGCGATTCCGTCTTCGGTTCATGCCAGTAACTGTCTATGACCATTGCAATTGTTCCCTGTTGTTTAGTCCGATAAGTCTCGTCGTAAATTCTGTAAGCCTTGGCGTGGGCTAATAAAACGTTCCTGGTGCATTTGTAATCGTTTTCTTCATTTGGATAAATAGCAAGATCACATGCGTTGTTCGGCTCGTTGAACGTGAACCACGTCTTCACCCTATCTCCGAAAGTCTCGAACGCGAAATCGGCGTAGTACGCGAACTGAGCTGGGAATTGATCTCCCAATAAACCATCGGATTTTTCCACCAAAGCTCGAGGCACGTCCCAATGGAATAGAGTCACCATCGGAGTTATGTTATAAGCAATCAGCTCGTTAATTAGATCGTTATAGTAACGGACTCCGTCGCTGTTCACTTGCTCTTTCCCATCAGGAAATATCCTCGGCCAGGAAAACGAAAACCTGTAATAGTCCACACCGAGATCGGACAGCATCTTCACATCCTCTTTGTATTTGTTATAAGAATCGCATGCAACATCTCCGTTCGTTCCGTCCACGATCCAATCCAAATTGTGAGTGACATAATCCCATTGCGATTCGCCCTTTCCTAAATAGACAAACACACACACATAATCAAGTGAAATATATGAATTAATAAGTGAACTTAAATAAATAAAACTATACCATTGACGTTCCATGCTCCTTCTATTTGGTACGAGGAAGTGGCAACTCCAAACTCGAAATCCTCTGGAAAGGATTCAGTGTTCAGATTATTGGAGGCAGCACTGAAAATATTTAAGATCTTTTAATATATCTCGATTTTCGAAATTCGAATTTTTTTGTAAGTACTTTACGAAAATAACGCAAACATTGAATATCAAAAAGAGTCTCATGTTATTATTTTGTCTGTTTTTTGTTTCGCTCCGCGGTTTTTATACGCCGCGCCTTATCTAATCCAATTTGTTTAAATAAAACGTCGTAAAAGTTAAGTTGGACAAATGATTTACGATGCTTTATTGCTTATTGTATCGCTTTGAATTCACAACCTTCATCAGATTCCAAAACATTCGCTTATTTATGTTTTTTTTAATATTTTTATCATTATATTTCATAAAGATCCATAAACACCAGGCATGATATGTTAATGTCATGAGATTTCATGGTCATCCATAATTACTTTGCATACTAACTTAAGAGAATGTATTTCACTATATTAAGTTACAACCGAGACATAATGTAAACCAATTAGGTCATAGGCTCAGTAGGCGCACGCTCTCACATTTTGTTCTTAGGATCTCAGCTTTTCCATGTTTTTTCCTCGGTCCTTCAAAAACCTTTCTAAACAATATTTTAATTGGAAATATTTAGAGGAAGACCTCACAATTAAATTGCTTAATCCGACACTGATCTTAACGTACCATAATATATGAAAAAGCTTCAGCGATTATTAGTAAATGTTAAATTCAATTTTTGTAAAAAGTAACAAGATAAACTGTAGATTTTATTTATCGTTAGAAAAACGCAAATTCTTACAGCATTTTTTTAACTAAGATAAAAGGGTTGTTATAATCCGCTTATATGATTATGCATCCGAAATAACTATATTTTAGCATGATTTAACTGGAGGATTTCTTAAAAAATTAGTGTTGGGGTATTTTCTACCTGTCTAAAGCAAGAAATAACAGAACTAACATTTAGATAATCATATAGTTTTAAATGAGGCAGTTTCGATTTGAGAAATAATCATATTAAATGAAGTTATACTATAATTTTCTTTTCTATTCAAAAACATAGTTCTATAAGTGGCGTAGCTAGAAATATCGGGCTCTTCCTTCCTTATTCTTTACCTAGTCCGAAGTCCTAGTTTACTTGTCCGATAGAACGTTCGAAAAAGCAGTATTTTCACATTTCATTGATTTACTCGAAAACTATAATAGATAGATTGAATCCAATATATGCAGATGAAAGCTGAAAGTTTGGGGAATCCAGCAAGTATAGATACATTCCTGTGATCTTATCCATATTGCTGTAATACGCGTTTAAAGTTGAAGAATTGAAATTAGAACGTTCTAAAAAGAAGTGTTTTCACATTTCATTGATTTACTCGAAAACTATACTAGATAGAATGAATCCAATATATGCATATGAAAGCTGAATGTTTGTGGAATCCAGCAAGTATAGATACATTCCTGTGATCTTATCCATATTGCTGTAATACGCGTTCTTTTTGCAGACCATTGCTATACAATAGCTACGCCACTGGTTATATAGATATACTTAATACCAATTTGTGTGTAATTCTGATTTAGATAATCTACATTCAATATAACTATTTCCAGAGATTATTATTATAAGGAATATAATTATTGTGAATTTTTATTCACGTAAATATTTATTGAGTGGTAATGATAATGTTCTTATATGCGTTTATTACTAAAATTTTGCGTGAAGAACGGTTACGTGTTTCACCGTAAAATAGCAATTCTATTTCGTCTCAACGTATTATTAGTTTTAATTTAACGTGTTAAATGTCCGTCTCTAGAGTTTTATTATTTGCATTATATATGCAGTATTAGTTTATAACCAAAAAAACCTTTCATACGTCGTGTTCGAAGTTGAATCACTGCAGAGGCCAACGACTTTGGAATAAAATAACAAGAGCTTATGTACTGTTAGGAGATGTTAGGTAAATTAAGTCCCGAGGACTGAAATTATGATAAATAAAAGAAGAACTTTGCATTTTGAAATGTACATGGAGCAGAACTTGTTTATAAACTAGTAATCTCGCTTCAGAAATATAAATGTCACACTGGTTTAAATGGAAAGCGTGTAAAGGGTTTTCAGATATCTGCGCTAGAAGTGGGTGTGTGTGTGCTCGGATGGGTTTTGTAATTCGGATGAAAGTCCGAGTTTTAGTCTAGACGAGAGGCGCCGGCAGCCGGAGGCAACGGCGTCGATGACGTCGACAGCGACGGCGGCGGCGTCGGGACGCCAGGCTGGATGTTGAATTGTCTCGTTAGCAGGATAAAAACGACCTTAACAATATACAGCATTCAGAGCGAATGAGCGCTGATCGAATGATGGACAGGACAATGGATGCCGTCGGTCGGAACCTGGATCTGCAGGTGCAGAGACCCGTCCATCCTCGCTCTCTTCTCACTCTCGCTCCTGCACTACCCGGTATCAATTTTATTACAAATGGAAATGCACTAACGAAGTTCGTTTTTTTTTTATTTATTTATTTGCTTTTCTTCTTCGAGCTCGGTTCCATCCATTTTTTTACACGCTGAATACCGGACTTGAATTCTTCGCGTTCGCCTGAAAAAGCCATCATCATTGTCCTTCCTTCCCCTTGTTCCCAAAGGCTTATGAAAGATGGTATCCATTTCATTTATTAAACGCAACGACAAATTCGACGTGATTAATAATATACACTGCCGTGTGCACTGCATTGAGCTGTCATCTACGATACGCCGACGTCTCTTTCTCTCTCTCTTCGTCGTAAGATTTATTAATGTAAACCAACTATTTAAATATCTGTTCCTCTTTTCCCCATTTTTATTCATATTTAAATGAGCCGCTCGTACATCTTCGCAGCGGCATTTTCAATAACAAAGTGACGCTTTTAGTGGTTTATTTTCTCACTTCATACACATGATTAACGATCGTTATGTCATAATTATTAGATTATAGGAATATATTGTAATTAAAAAAAAAAACTGTCAGTAGTTGTTTGTTGTAACTTAGCTGCAAATTAGCAAATTAAACATGTGGATTAAAACTTGATAGGTTAATTTTAAATTAATTATGTTGTGAAATTTAAATTTTAAATTCTATAACTTATTTTATACTTATTGGACAAAATAATTGTCTATACCAGCGGTCGGGGAACTTTTTTAACCATTACCCCAAAATATTATTGCATAAGTCGTTATTACACCACCCCCCCATTCTGAATAGAAAACAATAATGTAAATTTAAATAAACATTATTTATTGAATTAATTTCATTTACATATTTATAAAAAAAGTTACATGAAAATAGTAACATATAGAAATAAAACAAAGTTCAAAATAATTAAATCAAACAATTTAAATAAACATTTTTAATTGGAAAAATCACAAAAATTAATTGAAAACTTTCCCCCTTCAGGTTTTGGAAACATGATTGTTGCTTCATGTTTGATATAATTACTTTAAAATTGGGACTTTTTGATGTAAGAGCAATTTGAATACAGTCTTCGGCGTTTAATCGATTTCTGTTTTTCGTTTTTATGTTCATTAGAGTGGAAAAGCCTTGTTCACAAAGGTAGGTTGTTGCAAATGGCAGCAATTTTTTTACCGCCTCCTCATGTGCAATTTTGAAAGCCTTTGCAGCCTTTGACAACAACAAAAAGACGACAGATTTGCTTTGGTCTCAAATTGAATACAGTATTGGATGGAAGTTCAAGACCTGGAATGTTAGTAACGACAGATTTGCTTTGGTCTCAAATTGAATACAGTATTGGATGGAAGTTCAAGAATTGCCTCTGCCAAACCTGGAGGTTCTTCTGGTATATTAGTAATTTCACATTTAAAAGGATCTACAACCCAATTCACAGTTTGTACATCAAGATCTGAAAAGTAGTCAGAGAACCGCTCTCTGAGTTTGGCAAGATGAAATTAGAAAAATTACCCTAAAAAATTACCCCTTTCTGGGTAATTTACCCCGGTTCCCCGACCGCTGGTTTATACTCTAATAAGAAAAGTTTAATTCTAATTGTTCTTTACCTTCCAAATTGTACTTGCAACAAGATTAATATTATATAAAAAAAGGTAATTTTATACTGCAAATTATCCAATTGCTCATCTGTCCGACTCCATTACTATCAACCGTGGGCATGTGCTATTACACGCATTGGTGATCATTGGGTGAACGCCATCTCGTGTTACAAATAGCGATGAACGGTGTCCGAACTAAACATACCTTTTAACACTCGGTATAAGTTACGACTAAATACAAGCATAATTAGGTTACAGCACTGTACAACCATGTATTACACAATTCGACACAATCTATGTTACAAAAGCAACTCCAGTAGTTTCAGCAAGATGCCCGAAGCGAGACATAAATTTGAATGTAACTGCAGGAAATGCAGCCAGTAAGCTGCAGGAAATATATTCGTTTAGATGGGGATGTTGTTATCGCTTGTGTTTTTTTCTGAATTGGGATGTGAAGGGCTTCCGGCGGTCGCGGAATTACCTTTATCTGTCAGCCCTTATCTGTCGGGGATTTTGTGCTCGTGTTTCCGGACGGAAGTGCGACGCGTCCCGACGCCCGGCGTCGCAGTTTTGGTGCCGCCGCCTCCGATGCCACCGCCGTCGGGCTGACGTGTTATATCTATGTATGTGTGTTGGGATTTGCTTTAATTTATAGCTGATGTCAGCCGTTTTTGCGACGACTAACTTTTCGGAGCGGCAACTGCGTTTAGGGATTTTGGTGGAAGAGATGCCCACGTCCGGGATAAATATTTAAAAAGGATTTGTATGTAAATTGTAACGTAAATCGGAAGGAGATGAACGAAAAAGTTGGTATTATATTGGTGACGTGCGACGTTAATGGGACAGTTATGGGCTCCAAGTATTTCTTTACTGCACATTTGGTTAATATTTAATGTGTATAGATCTTTGAGATATGATCGCGATGAAATAGGATAATTATGTAAATTCACCGAAACCAACTACATAAATTATAAGATACGAATAATTGATACGAAGAAAGCTGTAATACAATAACAAATGGTTTA